ACAACATGCTGCAGTCAGTTCCAAGGCCCCCTTTGTCCCAAAGGCATGTTTAAACCAAGCCAACCAGCCAGACGTCAGCAGCATTTGGAGGTCCACATGAAAAATGCCATTGCATTTGAAGGTAATGCCATTGCATTTTAGATTAAAGATACACACATGTGCATGCACACACACACACACACACACACACACACACACACACACACACACACACACAGATTTGTGTGTGTGTGTTCATGTGTCTTGTTTGTCATTGTCAAATATAAACATTTTCTGGACTTACTCTTAGATAAGAAGATCTGCCGCTGCAATTTGAACTGCAGGAATGGGGGACATTATCATTGTCCTATATGTGACAAAACCGTTATTAGAAGGACAGACATGGAAGCACACTTAAAGTCTTGTCCCATACAACAAACTTCCACCTCAGCTGCTGCGCAGTCCAGACAGAGTCAGGATTCATCCTTGGCCTCCCTGCAACCAAGTTCATCTGCTGCATCCATTCCTCTGCTTCCACCAACCATAATATCCCCATCTCCAGACCTTCTTGTGCAACAAGATACAACCACATGTACTATTCCCTCTGCCCAATCAATTCAAACATCTACCATCCACTCCTCAGCAGACACACATATGACATCGTCTTCTCCTTTGGTTTCCTCTTCTGTTGTACATACATAATTTTCCCTCCACCAATGCACATCCTTAAATTAGGGAATGAACTTGCGCTCCGGGGGGCGGCTCAGCGAAAAGAGGAGGCGTGTTCCAGCGCAAACGTTCCCTGGTGCTATTTTGCTGTTTCAGAAAACAATTGCGCCAGAGACCAGGAAAAACCTAGTCTAAAGTCAGTGGCGCTGGGCGCATGCTTGAGGGGATACCCCTGAAAGGCAGCAGCAACATCACCACCCGGTCAAGACGGGCATTAATACTTTGCTGCATCCCGGACAGCTCCCGCTCCAGCATGTCAAACCCGGTTTGCTGCAGGAACGGGTGGTCCTCCGGCGTGTAGTGGGTCTGGATCCTCTGCACCTTGGTGTTTGTGCTACTCCCTCCTCAACTGGCGCACTGCTCGGCCCGTGTGCACTGCTCCCGAGGCCAGGGTCTTCTTCCTGCGGAGCTGCGTTACATTGTTTTGATTTATTGTATGGCTGTGTTACATTGATTTCATGTCAATAATGTCACTTCTCGGTATTTTACGGCCCTGACGAGAACGTCGGTCTCCTCGGCTGTGAACCGCTCCTGGCGTGCGCCTGGCAAATCCGCCGTTATAATAGCAATCCGCCATGGAACAAGCGCACCTGCTTTTAAAGGGAATGTGAGATGACGCTCTGATTGGTTTATTGCACGTTACGCCCAAACCACACCTATGACTAATGTAGCTACTTCAGACCAACCCATTTTAGATTTGCGCCGGCGCAAGAGTCATTTATCCCGCCGGCATAATAGCAACAGCTACTTGCGTTTTGCGTTTCAGATCTGCGATCAGCCTTAATTAAGATAATTAGATAAGATAATGTGTGAAATAGAACATCTGTGTTTTGAACATCTGTGTTTTAAACATGGCTGCCCAATAATACCAGAGAGAATTGGGGCATCGAGGGTGCCCCTATAGCTCACCTAGCTACCCCTTAACTTTCAATATAGCCCGACAGTAGTAGATGAGACAGATAATCTGTGAAAAAATCTGGTTCTCCTGGCTCCTCCTAGTGCTCCTAATGGCATCTGCAAGAATCCACCGGGCCTAAACGAAAATAACCAATCAGAGCTAAGAACGATAGTTGACTATTGAGTCTCATTCCCAGGTTGTCAAATACAGACGCTTTGAGACCCTGGGAATGAGACTCAACTACCAACCCACCAACACAAAGGATCTTTATATCTTTCTTACCTACTGTTACCTTGAACATCATTAGTATAGATTTCTATATATCTACTGTGTTTGAAATTTCCTGCAGAACTGGTCTGTTGTTAGTTTCTACACTATTTTCAAGACATGGTAGAACTTCAAAGTAACGTAATGAATGCAGGCTGGGTGCTGATTCTTCATCTTTCAAACTTCAACTTTCATCCAGGTATAGGAGGTGGTTGAGTGTGGAGCAGAAGGAGTGGAGGAGTCTCAGTGTGTCTGCAGAGACTGTGTAGAAGGACAGAGCAGCAGCAGAGCAGTCCAGATACACTGATGATACTCTGTCACATCCAGAGGAACACACAGGGATGATGGTAGACTTGACATTGTGTCTGACAGTGGAGCTGATCTCAGAGCAGTTCAGACTGCAGCACTTGTGATTCCTCAGTCACTGCTGGATGAAGCTCTCCTCTCCACTCTACCTCCCAGTAACATGGCCCAGTCAGAGCTGATGCTGCTGCTTCAACCTCTCTGGATCATCAGGACACAGCGGATCCTCCAACACAACCTCCTTCCTCACCACTCACACTCTGACAAAGATCACTTTCACCTGATGAGAGAAGAAGACAGACAACAGGAGTCATAAATCAGTGTTTACAGAGACTCCCTCCATCAGCACATCCAGTATAAAGAGCAGCAGGGACTTCAGTCCAGTTCAGACCAGCAGTGGAGCGGCTGTGTAGTGTAGCCTGCTTCCTTTCAGCTCTCATGTTAACGTATTGGAGTGAACACACTGAGCTGAAGCTCACAGACCTGCAGACACTTTGGACATCAAGTCTGTTGACTCTGCGGATTTCACTGAAGTACACAGTGGAAATAAAGTGCTGAGAGTCCCTGAACGCAACATTATTACAGGAACAGAGAAACATTCACTGCCCACTGGAATGATGGATTTACTGCTGTTAGGGTTCAAAGCTGATAAAAACCACAGTCTCAGTCACATTAGATTATTTTCTCTGCTTTCAAAATTTTACAGGACAGATCTGTTAGTACAAAAATAAAAAATAAAAAATATATAAATATATATATACAACAGAGGTCCTCGTCTGGACAAAGACCACATGGTCACTAAATATAATGATGGTTCTTTGAAATAAGATCCAGTGGTTTGCAGGCTTCAGTCAGACTGATCTCAGAGCTGTGACAAACTGATCAGTTGTTTAGTGTTGAAGGGAGAGAACAAACACGTTGAGATCAGACTGTCTGTCTGTCTGTCTGTCTGTCTGTCACCATTCTCCTCTCACAGCTTCACTGAGTGTAGATCATTCACTATGTCAAGATTGGTTCGGTTTGAGCTATTACAGCCACCGTATTTGTAGTCAGTAAAGCTGCGCATGCGTACTACTCTAGGAGGTGGATGCTCTGATATCTGTATTGACTATTAACTGGTGTAGCTCCTCGCATCCTCTGTGTTGCTGTTAATAAACCTGAGTTATGGTCAAACTCCAAGCTTATCTCCATTGTAGTAAGCTTCCAACACTGAGGAAAGCAGTAAATACTGGATCTGTGTTTAGTCCAATACTGCTGAAACCAGCATCGACTGAGTCAGACCCTCTACTGACCTCAGAAACTCCAGTCTGCAGTGCGGACTCTCCTTAAGATCAGACAGCGGCTTCATGTCTGAATCCTGCAGGTTGTTTCCTCTCAGCTGCAGCTCTCTCAGATGGGAGGGGTTGGACTTCAGAGCTGAGACCAGATAATCACAGCTGATCTTTGACAACCTGCAGCCCCACAAACTGAATAAAGATAAAGATAAAAATAATTTATAATCCAGTCAGATGTGTTCAGGTTTTGAATGTGGAGCTCAATATTACTATGTCCTAATTAATGAGCTTTTCTCTAAATTTTTACATTTAAACAGCTTTAAACAGCTGCAATCAATGGACTAAACCACTGAAGAAGAAAACAGACTTTAGCATTAAGATACTCAGTGTGGATCAGTATAATATCAGCCTTATGTCTGCACTTTACTGTCACCACAACTTTCACATCATATTAATCTCAGCACAGAAGGAAAAAATGGTGTCTGACCACAAAGTCTCCAGTCTACAGTGTGGACTCTCCAGAAAACCACACAGCAGCTTCACTCCTGAATCCTGCAGCTTGTTGTTACTCATCCTCAGCTCTCTCAGATGGGAGGGGTTGGACTTCAGAGCTGAGACCAGATAATCACAGCTGATCTCTAACAACTTGCAGTCACTCAATCTGAATAAAGAATAAAAGATGTGAGTTTAGAAGACAATTTTCCTGCTTGAAATCATTCAGTGTTTAATAATCTGTTCAGAGCTGAAGAAGGTTTAGAATGTACAAGTTTAGAAAATGGAAATTCCAAACACCTGAACCCAACAGCAGGTTGAAAACTGTAAAATACAAAGAGTGAAAAAGAGCTCTCATTAATATTAATGACAACGTGCTGCTGCTTCAATAAAGACGTAGTGACTTCAGCTCTTAACCTCTGCCAGCTCCACCAGTGGCTCCATCTATACAAACTCATGTTGTGCAGCCAAACACAAAGAAAAACCCACAGAAACTGATTGAAGGTTCCACCCAAGATCCTAAAGTTTACAAAGATACCAAATTTGTCAGGATGGATTTTGGGGAAATGTGAACAAAAGACATCTACAATATTTCTTTTAGGAATAGTGGAGTAATAAAATAAAATCAACTTCAGTTTAAACTATTCAGTCAGTATAAACATCATATAGCTTCATAACGATGAAATGAAAACAAAAGAAAAAACTGAATTTATTTACTATTGTATGATAGTTTAAATAGTGAATATGTAAGTGTTGTCTGTATGTTTCTTTTAAATCTATTTAAGAAACACAAGGTAACATTTAAAATTAAATCAAGAGTTTAAGAGGTTCAGAGTGAATTATCCAGTGTAGATTCTTCTTGTTATATTCAGGTTTTAAATGTGGAGCTCAACATTGCTCTGCCACAGTCAATGGACTAAACCACTGAAGAAGAAAACAGACTTTAGCATTAAGATACTCAGTGTGGATCAGTATAATATCAGCCTTATGTCTGCACTTTACTGTCACCACAACTTTCACATCATAATAATCTCAGAATAGAAAGAAAAGTGTCTGACCTCAGAGTCTCCAGTCTACAGTGTGGACTCTCCAGAAAACCACACAGCAGCTTCACTCCTGAATCCTGCAGCTTGTTGTGACCCAGTTCCAGCTCTCTCAGATGGGAGGGGTTGGACTTCAGAGCTGAGACCAGATAATCACAGCTGATCTCTGACAAACTGCAGCCCCTCAATCTGAATAAAAGAAATAAAAAAATGAAGAAAATCCATCCAGAGGTGTTCAGGTTTTAAATGTGGAGATCAACATTACTATGTCCTAATCAATGAGATTTTCTCTAAAATTAGTAGAGTGACTTTGTCATTGTGTTATTGTGGATCATCATAATGTCAGCCTTCTACAGACATCATCCAAATGTCAACATTCATACACCTATTCATGTCAACACTGATCAATAACATGCTGCTGATCTCGGTCAGGTCTGTAATTAGAGGATCAATACTATATTGAGCCTTTAACAGCTGCATTTGGAAATGCTTTGATCTGTGTGTGTTCAGAAGGATCAATAACAATGATCAGACATTATTTGTGAAAACACATTGAAATCAACAGAAACCAGAGAAATATTTCTACTTCCATAAACATAATCAATAATAATCAATCATATCAGATCTACAATAGTAATAGAGAGTCAGTGAACTGACCTCAGAGTCTCCAGTCTACAGTGTGGACTCTCCAGAAAACCACACAGCAGCTTCACTCCTGAATCCTGCAGCTTGTTGATACTCAGTTCCAGCTCTCTCAGATGGGAGGGGTTGGACTTCAGAGCTGAGACCAGATAATCACAGCTGATCTCTGACAAACTGCAGCGACTCAATCTGAATAAAGAATGAAATATGAAGATAAAATCATTAATAATCCAATCAGATGTGTTCAGGTTTTAAATGTGGAGATCAACATTACTATGTCCTAATCAATGAGTTTTTCTCTAAAATGAATAGAGTGACTTTGTCATTGTGTTATTGTGGATCATCATAGTGTCAGTCAATAATTATCAAATCGACTCATTACGTTTCTTTTTTATCCAATTAATAACAATCGTGTCATTTTACTAAAAATACTAAGACAGACCTTTTTCTATAAATTATAAATAGTTATTTAAGTCAACTTTACAAACCACAGATTTAGACTATCCTCACTGTCATCTCCATCAACACACACTTCAGCTTCATCCTCAATCGTCATTATAACTGGATCAAATGTGCACTGAGCAAAGAGAGCTGCATGTTTTCTTCATCTTAATTGTAATCTAGTACCTTCCCATATACATGTAGTGTATTATTTATTCTCCTGTTTACTGATTGAGTCAGAATACAAAGAAACATGGAAGCTTGTTACATGCTCATCTTCATTTGGAAATATGCTTCGCACTCTGTCTCTCTAAAGTACATATTCATTTAATTTCACAGCACATTGAAGACTAAATCCTACTGTTTTCAATAACATAAATCCATATAAAACTGTTAAGACTGATAACTTTAAAGAAGGGTTGTTGTGATTTGTGCTCAGACAAACCCAGAAAACTGAAGGGAATTTAAAACTTCTGTTATGGATTTAAATTTGGTAGATATACACTGTACAAGAGCAAAATACATGAAGTGACCTTAGAGTCTCCAGTTTACAGTGTGGACTCTCCAGTCCAGCACACAACAGCTTCACTCCTGAATCCTGCAGGTTGTTCCAAGTCAGGTTCAGCTCTCTCAGATGGGAGGGGTTGGACTTCAGAGCTGAGGCCACAACTTCACAGTGAATCTCTGAGAGTTCACAGTCAGAAAGTCTGTAATGACAGATAATATAAAACTTAAAGTATAATAAAATCTGACACTTTATGATGAAAATATATATTGATATAATGTATATATATTGATCACAAAGCACATTAACATGAGCACATGTAGCTCAGGTGTGCATGCATCCATCACAAAGTGTACTCATTATATATCAATCTTATATTAAAGACATACTGTAGCCAATACCCAATGCATTTGAGCTGTAGCTATTTGGAAATTCTTCTTCAGAGTTAAGGCTCATTCATGAATGTGGCGAGCAAAAGCTGGCCTATGTGGTCTGATCCAAAAGATGAGCTACTGTAGCTCAAACTGCTGAATAACTTAATGCTGGCTCTGATAGAAAGGTGTCAGAACATGTAAGCTATGATAAAAGGTTGTTAATGGACTTACACAGCCTTTCTGCAGTTCCTCACAGCTGGAATCAATCTCTGTCGTCCCTCCACTGTTGCGTTATACTTCTTAAGTTCCAACTCATCCAGAACCTCCTCTGACATCTGCAGCATGTAGGCCAGAGCTGAGCAGTGGATCTCAGAGAGTTTCTCCTTTGATCTGTTCTCTGACTTCAGGAACTCTTGGATCTCCTGATGGACTGAGTGGTCGTTCATCTCCATCAGACAGTGGAAGATGTTAATGCTTCTGTCAGGAGAGATATCATCTCTGTTCATCTCCTTCAGGTTGTTGATGGCGCTTTGGATGATTCCTGGACTGTTGTCTGTCTGACCCAGCAGGCCTTCTAAGAGTCTCTGGTTGGACTCCAGAGAGAGGCCATGAAGGAAGCGAACAAACAGGTCCACGTGGCCATTTTTACTTTCAAGGGATTTCTCCATGGTATCTCTCAGAAAGACATCCAGAGTTGAATTAACATATTTTTTTCCCAGGAAGTCCTCCAGTACCTCTGTGTTCCTGTTGGTGTAACAGTGGAACATGTAGACTGCAGCCAGAAACTCCTGAATGCTCAGATGAACAAAGCAGTAGACTGTTTTCTGGAAGATCACACTCTCTCTTTTGAAGATCTCTGTACAAACTCCTGAGTACACCAAGGCCTCTGTGACATCAAGACCACACTGCTCCAGGTCTTCTTGGTAGAACATGATGTTTCCTTTCTCCAGCTGTTCAAACGCCAGCCTCCCCAGCTTCAGAAGAACTTCCCTGTCAGCCTCCATCAGCTCCTGTGGACTCGTCTCATGACCCTCTTTATACTTCTGCTTCTTCCTCTTTGTCTGAACCAGCAGGAAGTGTGAATAAAGGTCAGTCAGGGTCTTGGGCAGCTCTCCCCTCTGGTCTATAGTCAACATGTGGTCCAGAACTGTAGCAGTGATCCAGCAGAAGACTGGGATTAGACACATGATGTAGAGGATCTTGGAGTTATTGATGTGTGAGATGATTCTGCTGGACAGATCTTCATCACTGACTCTCCTCCTGAAGTACTCCTCCTTCTGGGCGTCAGTGAAGCCTCGTACTTCTGTTACCCTGTCAACACATTTAGGAGGGATCTGATTGGCTGCTGCAGGTCTGGAAGTTATCCAGACGAGAGCCGAGGGAAGCAGATTCCCCTTGATGAGGTTTGTCAACAGCACGTTGACTGAAGACTTCTGTGTGACGTCAGACACAACCTCATTGTTGTGGAAATCCAGTGAAAGTCTGCTTTCATCCAGGCCGTCAAAGATGAACAAAAGTTTACAGACAGCGAGCTGCTCTGCTGTGACCTTCTGTAATGTTGGATGGAAAACATGGAGCAGTGTGAGAAGACTGTACTGCTCATCTTTGATCAGGTTCAGCTCCCTGAACGAAAGCAGAACCACCAGACTGACATCTTGGTTTTCCAAGCCCTCTGCCCAGTCCAGAGTGAACTTCTGCACTGAGAAGGTTTTTCCAACGCCAGCGACGCCGTTCGTCAGAACCACTCTGATGTGTCTCTGTTGGTCAGGTAAGGCTTTAAAGATCTCGTGGCACTTGATTGGAGTGTCATGGAGGATCTTCTTCTTGGAAGCTGTCTCAAGCTGCCTCACCTCATGTTGGGTATTAACCTCTTCACTCTGTCCCTCTGTGATGTAGAGCTCAATGTAGATCCTGTTGAGGAGGGTTTCACTTCCTGTTTCATCAGTTCCTTCAGTCACACGTTCACATCTGGTCTTCAGACTGATCTTATGTTCATCTAAAACCTCCTGCAGACCACTATCTGCTGAAAGAGAAGAAACATATTCTGAGACTAAAATGAGAACCAGAATCCGGATCAATAAAAATGTTTCTGAATTTATGATATTCATGATAATATTAAATTCACTGCATAACACAACAAATGTCCCTGTAATAGATTATAAAGTCCTGTTTTCAGACATGAGGACATCAGCAGACAGATGTTCAGTCTTACTTTGTACAGTGCTGGTCTGACTGGTTGTCTGCAGTCCAGCTCTTGTTCTGGATCTTTCTCCACACTGGGGACAGGTGGAGTCTCCTGATGAAGCAGACTGGTCCCAGTATGAGGTGATGCACTGTCTGCAGAACCAGTGTCCACAGCTGGTAGAGACTGGATCCTTCAGGACGTCCTGACACAAAACACAGCAGGACAGCTGCTCCTCCACAGAAACATGACTCCTCTTCTTTCTGTGAAGACATTTCTTTAATAACTAAAATAATTGGTTTGATTTGATTATTGTTGATGAAAAGTATCACAAATTGGCTGACACTGTTTTTGTAAGGAACTCTGTTGTGTTTTTGCACCATTGCCTCAGCAAAGCATATCTCATTCCCTGTATTTGCGATCCATTAAGTAGTGAACTATCTGACCTTGCTCTGCCCCTCCTGTACAGTCCATTGACAGTCACACTGCAGAGACACACAGAGACAGACGCTCTCTGGTGCAGACGCAGTGGATATTTTACAAGCACGGACCAGATAAAGCAACAATGAACAGCAGGTGAGCACCTTCTACACGTGGCTCACCTGCTGTTGATGTAAAGAATGAATCATGGGTGAACCCGGGTTTTTTGTGCAATTTCATGAATAATTTTATAATTCAGACATCGTATTAATATCCTAATATCTGTGCGTAGTTATATATATAATATCGCTGTACTGTCTGACTTTTTTTTGGTTTTGGCAGCATCGTGAGCATGATGATGTTTACTTCACCCTCTGTGTGCATCATACAAGTAGTCATATATGTGGACATTCTAAGCTAAGAGATTGTTAATTGTTGACTCTCTCATATATTTATATGGACTGCATTTTAATTTATTCATCTTTGTTTTGTTTATCATTGCAGTAAATGACTTTCAGGTTGTGTATTTCATGCCATACTGTTTATTTATTGTTATTGGATATACCTAATGTTGTTACATATTTTCTGTTTAATCCTTTGAATGTAGAAACACACATTCACAAAGGAGCATCACTACAAGCAAACTATTGTCACTAAATGAGTGGCATGTATATGATCGTGTTTGTCATAAATTGGACTCATTGATCATCATCAACTAAATATAGTTCCTAAAATCAAAACCTAAGGGTTCACTTTTTATTCAGTAGTTAACCAGAACCTCTTTTATGGACATTTGTATATAAAAAATAAAGTTTAAAATTTTTATTAAGATTTGACATTGAAGTGTTTATGTTCCTTATGTTATTAGCCAGAATTGTGTTAAGGCAAACAACTTGTTGGCAATGGCAATGTCTTCCCTCTCTTGCTGTACCAAAAAATGGACCGACACATGGATTTTATGAAACCTTCCACTATTAAATATATAAACACAAAAACTGGTACAGGTAACTGAAGATAAGTCAAATAAATAAGTTAGTAGCAGTTCTCTTACTGTGTGTCTGAGGGTTCACGTTCATTACTGAAGTTTAAAGGAAGATCTCTGGACAGGTCACTCTTCATAGACAGACAGCTGGACACTGGAGACTCTGCTCTGTCCTCCTCTTCCTCCACACAGTCACTCATCTTCTGATCTGAAGTCAGTCTGAGAGATAAACATTAACACTGACTGTAAGCTCAGAGCACAGAATCAGAAAACAACAAGTTTGTTTGAGAGACACACCCAAGACTGAGAGAACAGGAAGTAACACACACTTGTTACACACACGCACAAACTTGCGCCCTAAACACTATATAAGGGCAGGGCAAATACTCAGACACATGGTCAAGAATTGCCACCAAAAAAAGGTATGAGACATATAAGACAACAAATAAAATAAACAAAAAAACAAACAACAAAAACATGTTTGTGTATTGCTTCTAGTATTAGAGACCCAATGTGTATTATTTTGACAATCTCAACTTTGTGTCTAACTAACTGTTGAGTTCATTTCAACATTTCTTTCCTCTACAGGAGAAACTGACTCAGAGACTTTGACAGTAAGATAATAAAATGTTGTATGAACACTCACCCTGCCTCAGCCTTCAGTTCTCCTCCTCCTGCTCTGTCCACTCTAAATGGAGACTGAACCAACTGAACACTTTCACTTTAAGGTTCTCCCTCCCTGTTCTAATGTTTCTGGAGCCTCCCCTCTGCATCTACAGGACATCCTCTGTGTGTGTGTGTGTGTGTGTGTGTGTGTGTGTGTGTGTGTGTGTGTGTGTGTGTGTGTGTGTGTGTGTGTTTGTGTAAACACATAAATCAAACTCAGTTTTGCCCTCTCTTTGTTAGCCAGGGTATTTTCTGGAAGCAGGCTGTTGGAGCCTGTTGCCCATTCAACCCCCCCCCGAACAGTTCCCAGTTGGAGAGAGCCTGTTCATGTGGGGGAAGAGTTTTTACTGTTTTTGCTTTCCCTTGAGGGATATCAGATCAGCCCCTCAACCAGGAAGATACAGTTAAATGGGAAGAAAAGAAAAAACGGAGAGAACTCATAAATACATGCATCGATAAATAACTGATATACTGATATATTAGGAAAAAGAAACAACAAAATTTGGTTAATGAGCTGGAGGTGGAGGAGGGACAAATCAAAGAGGGGAATTAAGTGGAGTCCTGAAGAGCGAATGGGGGGTTGTTTTGTATTTCACAGTGTGTATATGTCTTTAAGAGCGTTAATGGGACGGGATTATAATGTAATGTGATCCATTTGTTGTATGTGGGTCCATATATAAAGCTGCATGAGCAACGATTCTGATTCTGATTAAATCAAGAGTTTAAGAGGTTCAGAGTGAATTATCCAGTGTAGATTCTTCTTGTTATATTCAGGTTTTAAATGTGGAGCTCAACATTGCTCTGCCACAGTCAATGGACTAAACCACTGAAGAAGAAAACAGACTTTAGCATTAAGATACTCAGTGTGGATCAGTATAATATCCGCCTTATGTCTGCACTTTACTGTCAGCACAACTTTCACATCAGATTAATCTCAGCACAGTAATTTTTCTCCCCTGCTTTTCAGAGTAATTGTTTTTCTGAATTATAGAGATACTTCGAACTCCCGCGAGAACCTCCAACCTGCAAGTGACTCCCATGGACCTATGGTGACTCCTGCCCGCACATACATGCCCCATCTTCAACTATCTACCGTACCGGGTCAATTTTGCTATGTATATATTGCTATGTCTTGCAGATCTGAATGGGCTTTCCTTCTGAACAACCGCAAAGTCCTCAGATGCCTGCGTAGAATCGACAAACTAATGATAATACCATCTATATGACTTAAAGACAGGACCATCTCCCAGTGTCTTAAACCCAGATCAAAGTAAAACTTGATTGAACAAAACAAGCCGGTCAAGCTCTAAATAAAGGAATGAATGCGTCTATTGTTTCAAATACTCTCTAAACTCGGAAAGAAAATGAGTAAAAAAAAAAAGAGAAATATAATATAAAATAAAAATATTCAGAAAATCAAGTGAATGCGATAGGCTTCCGTAGTATTGGACCAAACTAACTAATATTTCAGATGACTCAAAACCAACGCTTGGTTACTTGGTTGATAGTTTGTAGTTTTAGATATCTTGCACATCTTTTAATTACAGACAAAATATTTCTCATTTAAATTATGACTGTATGTGTTTGTCCCATAATAATTTATTATCGAAGTCATCATGCAACAATAGCTAAGGATATATTGACTGAGCTAATTGAGGAAATGGAAGAAGTGAATAACTGTTAAACCTCCAGGAGGAGGGAGGGGGCCTAATTGGCTGATCAATCTTATGACCTTTATGTTTCTAACGGTGCGTTACTACCAAGGCAAATAAAATTATTTGTGTGAGTAGATTACATACAGAGTCAATAAAAAAACCTGAATAGACACAAATTGGTGCCGGGCAACACGAACATTATATGTATAATGAGGGCTGAAAACCCTACTATTGTTTATATTTGTATCTCTTTTTTGAATTCACGGTATGTGTCTATATGTATATGTATGTATATATACTGCAGTTTAGTATCAGCACAACTTTCACATCATATTAATCTCAGCACAGAAATAAAAAATGGTGTCTGACCTCAGAGTCTCCAGTCTACAGTGTGGACTCTCCAGAAAACCACACAGCAGCTTCACTCCTGAATCCTTCAGGTTGTTGTAACTCAGATCCAGATCTCTCAGATGGGAGGGGTTGGACTTCAGAGCTGAGACCAGATAATCACAGCTGATCTCTGACAACCTGCAGTAACTCAGTCTGAATAAAGAATAAAAGATGAAGACAAAAATCATTTATAATCCAATCAGATGTGTTCAGGTTTTAAATGTGGAGATTAACATTACAATGTCCTAATCAATGAACTTTTCTCTAAAATGAGTAGAGTGACTTTGTCATTGTGTTATTGTGGATCATCATAATGTCAGCACAACATTAATACACCTATTCATGTCAACCCTGATTAACAGCATGCTGCTGATCTCAGTCAGGCCTAGAATACCTGTCAGTGGTCATGATGTTATGGCTGATTGGTGTATATCACTATTCACTATTCAATTCAATTCTGTTTCTACATCAGCAAGTGAACAATGTGTGGAGGAGGCTCGTTGTTAATGATGTAGCCAATCAAAACCATCAAAACCAACGTGGTAACGAATCTATTGGCACCAGCTGATGTGTTCACTGCTGTTCACTGTTGCTTTATCTGGTCTGCACTGGTTAAAATAAAGACTGTATCTGCACAGAGAGCTTTTAGAGGGAGGGACTCCCTCCTCTCTGTCCTCACACTGATTCATAGCAGAGCCCACACCTTCACACAGACACAGCAACCTGCTGGGAGAGATCACACATTATTTCCCATCATTCCTCTCAGTCACATGACAAACACACACAGCTCTGATTGGAGGGATTAGTCGACTCGCAGCAACATGAACTCAGAAATGTTGAGTACCAAAGTTTTATGTTAGAAATGTACAGTGTGGGTCCCCAGCATTTAGAAACTGACAGATTCCAACTCAATTATCATTATTAGCATTAATAAGCATGTGTGTATGTCTGTATGGAGAATATTTCAACAGATACTATAGTAGTGGTTTTGGGAGTTGCTGAGGATGATGGATCAAATTCTGATTCACTGATTTTGAGGTCATTTATATGCATAATAAATTGGAACTGCAGTTTAGAAAGCTCTTTGTCATTGGTGTTCAGATATTTATTCAATGTGGTTATGCATTAATTAAGCAAATAAATAATCTCAAAATTGATGAAAAAATACTCAAAAGTCAGCCCACTGGGAGATGAAATGTTGTCACAGATGTCAGAAATTGATTCACCATCCTCAATAACCCCAATAAAACACTCCTGTATTGTCCAAATCAGCCAAACAATTACTGAAATATTGTCCATATAGCTGAATATTAATGCTAATTATGCTAATTGACCAACATATACAAGTTAGCATCTGTCAGTGTGTAAATGCTGGAGATGCAGACTGTATATTTCTAACACACAATAGCACAATAGGACTCTACTGGCTGATATAAACGGCTCATTCAGCTCAATACTAAATCCACTCATCTGACAGTTTCCATGCAGAGTAGAAATGTTGTTGGCACTTTGAGCTGCAGTATCTAAGAAATGACATTCACAATGCTCTTTAGTCTGTGGGGTTGGTTGAAGACTAGAGGAATACACTTCATGTTGCTGTTTCACTTCTATTTGACTGACTTTGAAAAGCTCCTCAACAGTTGAAATGTTGCTCTTTTTCCAAGTCTACTATATCCAGTCAGAGCATGCAGTGGCAGCTAGTCCAATAATCCAAAATCCATCCTGTTACCTTGGCAGCTGCTGCTGAATTCACATCCACATCAGCTCCCAGAGACTTTCTACCTTCATCTGTAGAGGAAACACTGAGAGCAGAGCTGAAAGCATCAGTCCAATCACTGATCAGCACTGAGAACTCATCATCACTCATTCATCCTTTACATCAGTGGTTCCCAACCTTTTTCTATCACTGAGTAAACTGACGACCCCGACTGAGGGACATACTTTATACATATTTCATATTATATCCAAAACTGAACAATGAACCCAAATATTGAACTCAGTAACTGCAAGAAGTTGAAGTTGATTCTGATGAATTCTGAGCAGATTATTTCCTGTTTAGGGAACTTTTTATACAGTTTGTCTGTGTTATGTATCTTTTATCATTTTTAACAATCATAAATACTTAATATGCTTCTTTTTGGACAAACTCAGTGTTTTCTTGTCCCTGATGTTTGGTCATTGATCTATTAGACAGTTTACTTCACATTGACTTTTCTTCACAGAAGTGACCCAGATGCTGAGATATAGGCCAACCTACAGACCCCCCATGACACTTTGGTGACCACTAGCGGGGGTCCCGACCCTCAGGTTGGGAACCACTGATTTACATAATTTCTCCTGTAAAACTATCAGCTGCTCCTCCACTGGTATGTAATAATAATCTAATGATATAATATGTAATAGTGTAACACCTGTACTTCCTTACTCCCCCCAGGGTGTCCTGACTCCATCCTGTGTTCCTCTAATCCAAGTCTACAGGAGGACGGACTGGTCCCTGAGGCCTCTGGTTACTGGTTGAGGGTCAGTCCCCATACTGGGGTCAGAGGCCCAACCCTCCACCACAGGGAGCTTTAAACTTGCCGTGTCGTGGGGAAAATCTCTGTTTTCAACCCCCGAGGAGAAGGCCTCCAGCTTGGTTTTGACTCACGTGTTGATTCCACTCTCTATGATCTCTTCTAACCTCTGACACTCTCCAGTTTAAAGGATATCACACATACAGAAAGGCAGTTCTCATCATATATGACCTCTGTACAACAGAGACAGGTCAAGCACTAGGACCAAGCGGAAAACGGCCGCTCAAGCTGAAGCCTGTTTCCAGAGAATGTCTAATAAGGAGAGAACTTCCACTCTTGGTAAACTTCCGGCTTCTGAACTGTTGCAGTTCCACTCTGGCTCCATGTGAGGGCGCTCACAGGATGAGTGCAGAATGAATGGAGTCTATGGAGCTATACACTCAAAATCCACTTTTCTCAGGATATAATTTTTTGTCTAGTAATTTGAATGTTGCATTCGAAAGGGGACACAAAGAAATTACACATTGCTGGGTGTTAGATTTTTTTAGAGTCACTTATTTGCTTTAAAAAGTCTTTTAAAATGTCAATGATGTCATATACATTGTACGGCCAGAGATACTGCTTTACGGCAAGCCTCGAGTCACTTTGTGCTTCCGCACTCTGCACTTCCTTTTCTCTCGAGGCATCGACAACACAGCTGACACAGGTTAGGCTCTCCCTGTCAATACACGTGCTAGAAAGAGTTTTTGACAGTATTAATGGTCGCTGGAGTCAGGTATGTTCGGCGACATAGCTAGCCATCAGCTGGATATACACCTTTGTTGTGACAGAAACACAACTGCAGCTTAGGCCATTCACACCCTGAAGGTGTATTAAAAACAGTGTGTGTGAATGGGTCGTTGGAGTCCTTGCTCCATCCTGCAGAGTCCAGGCCGATTATATATAATATATATAATATCGAGTCCCCTGTTGGCAAAAATTGTAAAAAAGTTCACCAGAGCGCATTACACATGATTTTAGGTTGATTTAAAGCATGTCCAAGAGGTGACCCAAAAAAAAGTCCCCTGTCGGTCCATCAGTCCCCTGTTTGTGGGTGTGTAACAACACACAGTATACCATATACAGTATAATAAAACCAGCCAAAACTCCATCTAGTCAGCTTTGTGTTAATTTTCTGCTAAGATAAAATACAGTAAACTTTGCGCCCTAAACACTATATAAGGGCAGGCATTGTGCAAATACTCAGACACATGGCCAAGAATTGCCCCCCAAAAAAGGCAACAGACATATAAGATAACAAATAAGAAAAAAAAAACATTCAGTGTGTGTGTGTGTGTTCCTTTCCTTCCACATTGGGAGTTTTGAAGATTTAACTCTTTAACACTGGTCAAGGAGAAAAGGCCTATTTTTGTATTGGTATATTTTGGTTAATTAACTACAGTGTTTCCACCCTACCACTTCTATGTATTGATCAGTATTGATTATAAAGTAAACATAAACCATTAAAGTTAACAGAAACTGAGCTGTAGAGTCTGTAGAAAAACAGCTAATGTTAGCTCAAACTTCAACAGTGTGACAGTGTCAACAACATCAGTCAGATATAAAACAGCAGTTTGTCATTCATGCCATGAAACAGTTAACACATATGTCAACATGTCTGAGTGTATTGAATTATTTTAAACACTGAATATATTTGACTGATGTAGTAAACCACTAATTTAATATATGAGTGAGAAATAAACTGATATTTTTTCTGTTGAAAGCGACCTCAAGTTATGTAGAAGAACTATGGGACGACCTAAACAACCTGCATCATTCTATCTCACAACACCAGTATGTGAATAATATAAATACAAACCTATTGTGTTTCCAACGGTGAAGGGCATTAAATCAGTAGAAAAACAGGATGGTAAGGAAGGTCATTAAAATCAGTTGTGGACCCCAGTGAAGTGGGGCCAGCCGTATAAACAGGAAACTGTGTCTGACTGAGTGAATGATGAAATTATGGTGCGATCCATTTGTCCACCAGGAGCAGTGGCAGGCTAGTGTTATTGTTAGCTACATTAACCTATTTAGCGAACCAGCTCGAAAACAAAACTTTACATTGTATTGAACTCACAGCAACACCGTGCAATGCATAAACTGGTGACCGGACTAAAGCAGCAATGTAAACTAGTGTGTAAGAGCATTTAAAATTGACATTAAAACGACCAACGTAGTACAAATACAAAGAAAATACATCTCAATATGGGCGCAGACATCTTTGTTTTGCGGGTCGTACGTTCCCCCTCCTTCAGCTCGGTGAACTCTGAGGAGCCCCAAGTGGGACGGCTGATATTACGACCAAAAGGGGGTGTGTCTCGGTGAAATGTCGTGAGATAGCTGCAAGATTTACACTTTCCAACTCGGGTGGGGGTTTACGGGACAAATGGATCGCACCATTACTCCTGCATCAGGACACAAACTGTTCAGTCTCTAATCTGTAAACACTCTGAGGCTGATTTGAGGACTTCAGGTGAACTCTGAAGCCATCGTGT